ATTCTTTATGCTCTTGATTTGCAGTTTTGCAGAATTATTCAAGTGCTTTTCTTCCAATCACTGTTAAGCGGATTAAGGTTTATTGATAAAAAATATAAGCTTATTAGTTCAGAGACACATCGAAATTTATAAAAGGAAAAGCTTCAGCTTAGTTACATGTACGGTCAGCGTCAGCAAATGTCCCTGCTGTTCGACACCACAGGGAGCCCAAGCAGTGACTTTGAACCTATAATAGTTAAAAATAAAATTTTACTCAAAAAAATGGTCTACTTTTATTTTATTCAGTGTCACAATGCATTATAAATGGGTTTAAAAAAATATCCCCTACCTATATAGTGACTATATATAGGTAGGATATATTTTTTTAAACCCATTTATAATGCATTGTGACACTGAATAAAATAAAAGTAGACCATTTTTTTGAGTAAAATTTTATTTTTAACTATTATAGGTTCAAAGTCACTGCTTGGGCTCCCTGTGATTTCAAACGGCACATAACGTAATGTGCATTCCCGGCAGGCTTTGCGGAAAACAGTATCCTGGCAACATGCAACAGGAATCCCAATCTAAGGGAAAATTATAAAGGAGTCGGAGTCTTAATCAGTCTTAATAAAGTACCCTGCGAACAAAGGATTTTTCCACCAGATAGTGAAGAAACATTCCTCTGTTCGCAGGGTATAGATAAAACTATGGCAGAACATAAGGAAATCATTATTCTGCTTATGTTGAAAAATGTGTGAACGTCATAGTGTGCAATTGGTCTCCTAAAAAGACTGTAAGGGACAGGTACAAACCCTTCTCAAAATCCTAACGCAAAGTAAGTTAAGATCAAAGGACATTTTTGCATGTTAAGCTATAAGCTCACCCATTAAACGATACTGTCGAATTAATAAAAATCAAATTTAAAAAAGAATACTGAAAATCATCCATAGAATATTTTAATATTTGAATCACTACTGTCCTCTTGGAACAACTGTCTACATAAGATTAACTTATATTGTTTGTTATCATGCTTAAAATTAAACATCAAGAATTGAAAAAGTTATACAAGACCTTCAAAAAAGTATCATGTGATGTTTTACCCAGGTGTTCATGGTAATTTGATTACCTAGCCCCAATAAATTTGATACAAAAATGTTACTGGAGTCAGTGGTTTCCATAAATCTGTGGGCTTCTTTAGCATACTGCATTTTAATTAATTAATGTTGATTTGTGGGTTAATAAAGAGGCAAACATGTAATAAAGACTAAAGTAAAGACACTAAACAGACTTTAATCTGCCATGCTTGGTAAAATACATGAGGCGACTATAAATTTACATAATTTATGAGTAATTAATTTCAACCAATCAACAATTAACAATACTTTTATATTTATGAGTAAAGTGAAGWGAAACATAATTTGCYAAGTCAAATAGACACAAAAGGATAAACTATTGTGAAATTATATGGTAAATTATACAACCTRTTTCATATTTCTTACAATCACACAATTTACTACACTTTGACTATTTCATTTTTTCATGAGTTTATGAAAACCACCTTATCCTAAGATAGCTTCTATGACTATAAAGTACCCAGTGGCTGTAAACAATACAAATTCTAATACACTAGACGTGATAATTTCATTTTAGTATCCGCAAGGCCAGCAGATTTGATCTATGGCATGCTTATTCAAATTCTAATTATATTAGCTATTCTTTTTAATCTACTAAAACTTTTTAATCTCTACTAAAACCTAGTGGTATTCATGTGAATGACCAATTATTTCTGATAAAATTATATAATATTTACTACAATTAACTTAAAATTTGTTGCATTGTGCAATGTCAGCAATTTTCACTATAAATTACTACAAAAACTACTTTTTTGCATAAAAATGCTTATGTTTCAAAATAAAATACTAGTAACTAACCTATAATTATTATTCCTCTGATATATTTTTTTATATATATATTTTTTATTTTTTTTACGGTCATCAAAACTCGCTGTCATGTAATGTGCAGAATCCTCCATTTCTGTATTATTATTCGTCTTAATTTGACTCTAATTCCTTTAAAAACTGCTTCCAGCTGTCCCAGCAGCAGTAAATCATCATAGTACAGAGTTTCCTTGGATGTCTGTCAGGCTCTATGGTCCTTGCATCAACCAATGCTTGCTCATAATCATCCTTGCACGGAAAATCACAACACGTATGATCTTGAGGATCCTCTCTGCAGGCCTTGTAGATTGGACAAGGGAATGGGCCAAATGGTGAGTTGAAAAAACTGCAAAGAGCTCTAAACAGCCGACCATTGGCATCACAAAATGGATGGAGATCGAGTATTTCAAAAAGGAACCAGGCACAACTCTTGAAAATGCACAGTTGTATTTCTTCCTTGTTGACCTTTTTAGCCGATGAAAAGTAGAGGGCATTGAACTGTTCTATAATGAGGGAGAATTGTCTAGACATTCCATCTGTTTCCTCTGGGAAATCTTGGTACCAATAWAYTTYACCCTTATATGTGGTAYATTTTSKCCGGTCACTCAGCTGTCCAGGTTTTGTGTACTTTTCTGGAAGACGCACTTGCTTAAGTAAAATCCTGTGGCCCTCTTTCACACTGTCTTCATCGAGGAAAACGTCATTTTTTTCCTCGGACGTATAAAACCTCTCGATGCAATCGAGAAACTCGATCAAGTTTTGCGTTTGTAGCTTGTTTACGTCTCTAGGTCGGTCGGTGTTCAGCATAGCGTATTCTTCTTTAAATCTTTGCCTAACTGAGCCGATTTTCCCTTGCATTTTAGGATTTTCTTCGAGTGATTCGTAGTTTTTTTTTGAAATCAATGATTTCGCGAATCATTTTGTCGATCGATGGAATATTTCCCATGGCCTTTGGTTCGAATGAAATTCAAATCATCCAAATTGAATATCGCCGACGCCATGATGTGGAGGAATGTCCAAAGAACGGTTCTAAAGCCTTGACCAAAGCCAACTGCTGTCACCACTATAGTAAATCGTTCTTCTCCCTCTACGAGCTTTCCACAGAGTGACGAGTATAGAAGGCGCCTCGGATTTATGTATACAAACAAACTTAAAAGCACCGCCAGCTTAATGTCCAATCAAATCTAAATGATTTGTCACGTGATATGTATGAAGCCAATCAAATTGCAAGTGCATTCAAGGGTTTCAATTCTCCAGTCCAAACTCTCACGGAACGGCTAGGAACACAGGCTAATTTTTACTGGCTGGGAGCTCTGGAGCTGGGCTCTGGAGCTGGTAGCCTGTGTGCAGGCGGTATGGAGCTGAGAGCTCTGGAGCTGGGAGCTCTGGAGATGGGAGACCAAAGCCAACTGCTGTCACCACTATTGCAAATCGTTCTTCTCCCTCTACGAGCTTTACACAGAGTGACGAGTATAGAAGGCGCCTCGGATTTATAAACTTAAAAGCACCGCCTGCTTAATGTCCAATCAAATCTGAAATGATTTGTCACGTGATATGTATGAAGCCAATCAAATTGCAAGTGCATCCATGGGTTTCTCCAGCCCAAACTCTCACGGAACGGCTAGGAACACAGGCTAATTTTTACTGGCTGGGAGCTCTGGAGCTGGGCTCTGGAGCTGGTAGCCTGCGTGCAGGCGGTATGGAGCTGGGAGCTCTGGAGCTGGGAGCTCTGGAGCTGGGAGCTCTGGAGCTGGGAGCTCTGGAGATGGGAGCTCTGGAGATGGGAGCTCTGGAGATGTTGTTTTCGTACAGCCACAACAGAATATTTGCTGTTCATAAAACCAGTTTGGCTGCAATAAATACAAACTCAAAGGCAAACTAGACTGTAGGGGATTTTCATTTAATGACTGCTTCAACAAGACATTAAAAAGACAAATATTGCCCTTTCACTGGGGAAAATAATCAAGATTGTTTCCGAATTTTTACAATTTTCTTGGTTGTCCTGGGAGTCTACTCCAGGGAGAAGCTGCTGATAGATGCATGATATATGGCTTTTTGGAAAAAAAATACACACAATGTCCAATCAAATCTCATTGATTTGTCACGTTATACTAGTATGAAATGCTTTTCTAGGCTGTCTGTAGATCAGTCTTAGGCTGGGACTGGACTAGGCTGTCTGTGCTTCAAATTATCAAATTCTATTGCATTGATGATGCATGTTTGTTGTTTAGAAAATATGATCAAAATCGAATCAAAAGTATCGCCTTTAAATATCATGGTTATAGTATGTCCCCCTCTATTAACTATGATAACATGTATACTTTTTGTTAAATTCCCAACTATAAAACTGGAATTATTTTTGGGACCACTAGTGGCACTTATAGTGTTTTAACGCGGTTTTGGATGAAAAATGGTTTAATCTGCCAATGGCGTGACAAGCTTTTTTTGCCTCAATTGGTTCTCTGTATAACAGATAATATGTCTAAATCACTCTTCAACCGCATGCTAACTTAGTGAATAAGAAAAGATGTAGCACTCTTCTCGATCTCCATCATTTCAAAAATCTCCTTGCTCGACTCGAAGTATATTCACAGATTGGATTTCCTGTGTTCGGTTTATAATAATGCCAGTGATGGTCACGCATTGCCTGGTGGGAAACAAACATGGCGACCATAGAGGAAGCCATCTGTAATGTTCACCAACTTGAAACAATCATCCTCCCTGACGAACAGCCACAGATAGAAGCACCRCCAGCCTCAGTTACATACACTGCTAACTTTGACACCAACTTCGAAGACAATAAAGCTTTTATAACCTGCATTAGCAAGTATTTAGAAGAAGCTGAAGTACACAAGGGCTTGGTAGGTGTGACAAGAAGATTGAATTTCCGACTCTTGAAGGCGCTATAAAAATCTTAATCGCTGACAAAATTTCTTATCGTACACGAAATAAGATAAAATAGATATTTCTGCGATGTTTGATATGATTTGAACTGTYCACACCACATTGTTGCATTATGTAGTAATCGTAGTATTCCGTAAGTTGTGATTTYTGTAAACAGTTTCCTGCATTTTTGACAGAAATCAAACATCAATCTCAAAAACGACTTATTAACACTGATACATTAATTAATTTAACAAGTGGGTGCTTCACATAGAGTTTGTTCATTATAAGTATAGAATTTAACGTAGATTATCATTGATTCCAAGATTGAACTGTTAGAAGAAGGAGATAAATATGCTGTCGTACTTTATACATGGAGGAGCTGCTCAAGAGCTATGCCATCGGTAAGCGACCATTAGAAATTAAGCTTTACAGGACTGGCTATTTTCCTATATAAACCTGTAATAATTTTATTTGTCCATATCAATATTAATGCCAGATCAAAATAATTATAGACGCACATGCTTGATATTTAACCTTCTTCGTTATATCCAACATAAAGTTCTAAAATGTATTCCTTCATGATTTCAAATATAGTAATTTACAATGCTTACAATATTTATTTCTTATTAATTCTATTTGGTTTTTGCATTGCAGTATCATCATAATTCATAATAAATAAAAGCAGCACTAGTATTATTTATTGCTTATAAATAGCATTTTATGAAATCCTTTATCTAATTCTCTTAAAACTAATTTTGTATGCTTGTATGATCAAATTTCAAATATTGACTTAAATCACAGATCTATATGCTGCCAGGTTGGAAAAGTTTTCAAAAAATTTGATATCGTTATCACTGGTTGACAGTCCTGCAATTGAAATTTCTGATATTGATTAAGATTGATACGAGAGTACACAATTCCCTAGTGTTCCAGTCTTTCTTTCTTTCTTTCTTTCTTACTGTTGGCAGTATACAAGACTCCCCATGTATATGTATCCTACCATACTATTATAAAAATCCATTATATTCAAATAACTATTTTGTGTAAGACTATCTTGGCAGTTCAATTTGAATTTATTTTCATGGATATTTGTTGTGTTTTTGCCCAGGTCAAAAGTGATGATCAACCAAACAGAGTTGAGATTTATGAGAAGGCAGTGGATGTGCTTGAACCAGAAATAAAAAAACTCAAAGGTTTCATGTACTTTGCTGGCCAGGCAGTAGAGCGGTTTTGCCGTGAAATAAACACACTCAGCCATCCAGAGAGAAGAAAAGACTTCATATCAGAAAGATATTTACTGACGCTAGGAAGATTCATTAATATGTTTGTYATCCTTGATGCATTGAAGAACATGAAAGCTTGTTTGAATAATGACTATTCTATGTTTAAAAGGTATTCATATATTTTGATTAAACAATAGTTGAAGTAGAAGAACTTGAATATAATCTTTTAATATGATAAAAAAAGAAATTAATAAGAAATAAAAAAAAATTGACAGAGAAAGAACTGGGTCTGGGATGATCCCTTTCAAGGAAGATCCAAGTTGTGTTTAACTGTTTAATTTATATTTTTAACTGTTTTTCAGAGCTGACACTTTCCTAAGGAGAGGTACTGGTGATGTGTCTATGATTCAAGAGAGTCAAGAGTTAACACTGTTTCTGGCCCACCAGAACAAGATCACAATGATGCTAAAAGATGGCTTACAGAAGATYCAAGGWTATGAAGATGTGCTTGCAGACGTCGTCAGTTTRTGCTGTAAACTCTATGAGACAAACATGTACATTCTTCCTAAGGAAAARCATATGCTTCTGAAGGTAATGTTGACAGTTTTTAGAGGGATTGCACTGGAGCTTTTATCGAAGAAATTGATTGTTTTTCCTGGGAAATGTAGTCCTTGGATAGTAAAATGCTTTGAATTATACTTTCCCCCTATAAGTCTGTGTGTTATAAATCTACTGTATCAAAAAAAAAAAAAAAAAAAAAAAAAAAAAAAAACACACATCAATACATCTAGCACTATAACAACTATCATTGTATATAGAGTTTCATGTTATTCATTCATCCATTCTTGCATCAGTTCATGTATCTATCCACCCACTTTGTTAAACAAACTTTTTTCTTTCTTCAAGGAGAGTCAAGTTAGTATCATTTTGTTTCTTTGTTGTGTTATTCAATCATATCTCCTTCATTTATCCATTCTCATTTTCAGGTGATGGGTTTCACAATATTTTTAATGGATGGCAAAGATACCAATATTCTTAAAATGGATCAAAAGAAGCTGATCAGYATGTCAAAAATTGATAAAATGTTCAAGGTAATAATTTTTTTGTAGTATTACTTTGCTTTTGTGAAGTTATATCTAGAAATGCATAATATTTTTGATGTTAAGAATTTCATTTTTGTATCAGTACTAGTATTCATTCTAACTACATTAGACTGTTAAGCTAGTGGTGTACACTAATTCAAGTTGTATATTTTCCAGCAATTACCTGTTGTTCCTTTGTTTGGAGACATTCAAATTGGCCTTGCCAGCTATATAAAGATGTGTCCCCACTATGACAGTATGAAGGAGAAATGGACGTGTACAAGTGACAATGCAGAYGATAAGATAATATCACAGTACAGGTTGACTGACAGAATGGACATGATTAGAGAAGAACACGTCAGGTTCATCAGTGAACTGGCCAGATATAACAACGAGGTGATTAACTTATTATTTAACAGTTGATTATCAGAGGTCAAAACTCATGAGACCTGAAAAGAAGAGAATGTGGATGATAATGAAACCCTTGTATGATAAAGTTTTTCTTTATTTCTACTTTTCATTTCAAGTTTCCTCTTTTTTGTGTTTGTTTTGTSCACATTKTCCATATTTTGTACATTGCTGACTGTTTTTTKATCTTCTTATAGATGATCACCTCGACATCTAACCCAAGAGATGACCTCCAGTACAAAGAATTGAGACATCTTGCACTTCGTGGACTGCAGCTACTGTCTAGCTGGACTTGCCAAGTGACTGAACTTGTAAGCTATTGGTTTTTATGGTGTAGTAAGGCCAGTAAGGCCATTAATTGTAAATATTTTTATTTTTCTGTGTGTAAAATCAACCATGATTATAAATGGTTTTATGTACTTTTCCCATTGGATCATGAGATAGTCTTAGCAATGATCATGCAAGCTTCTTCAGGAACTTGACTGGTTTGCATGATGTTGAATCAGATCTTCCCAGGTTCTTGAATGTATAATTGTCACAAATAAACCTGGGATTTTACTCTTGTTTCACAGTATTCTTGGAAACTGCTTCATCCTGTTGACAAATATGCCAACCCTGAATGCCCAGAAACTGCAGAGGAATATGAAAGGGTTAGTGTCAATAGGTCTTTTTTGTGTGGAAAGATAATTGATTATGCCCAACACAATTCAATCAAGTGATTCAAATTCAGTACTGTATATTTTTAATATTGCATGGAAATAATTATTTTTTTTTACATTCACAGGCAACAAGATACAATTATAACAGTGAAGAGAAGTTTAATTTAGTAGAGGTTTGTAACAAAAGTCAGTCTTTAAAGATAAACTAGTTTACAGTGCTTTACACTGTACATAAGGTTTGTGACTACACAGATAGCCGATGATGTAGTGGTTCTTCTTGTAGTAAGTTATTCTGGCCAGTCATTATTTTCATCCAAAAATGCAAGTACTGGTAATACTCCTCTTTCAACAAGCCATCTACTGTAGAGTGTTTAATCATACTATATTCAATATTCTACCGCATTATAAATAACCATGGCATAGTCTTTTTACCTGTAAGTTATAAGAATCCATCATATAATTTGCCCTTTACTTGACATTTCTTTGAATAATCATGTGTTTTYCATAATAAACTCTTTTCCAGGTCATTGCCATGATCAAAGGACTATATGGTTTAATGGCAAGACTAGAGCCAGTATTCTCTGAGGCCATTAGACATTCCATACACAAAGACTTCCAAGAATTTATTCAAGTTGGTTTACGAGAGCCAGTGAGAAAGGCTGTCAAAAAGAAAGCCAATAGCCTCATGAAATCGTAAGTTGTTTTGCAATTATTAGGATTAGAATTATGTAATTTTAGGGGTTTTGTTAATTCAGTCAATTCAGTCTGTATGTCAGTTTATAAGTAACTACATTTATTAGTGTCATTTGGTCCATACTGAGGGATGGGTGCAAGGAATGGTTCCAGGTGTTACAGAAATCCCTTCTTTGGCAGTCAAATTTTTTAGCACATTTTTTTCAGATAGTCGAACAGTTTGTTAAGTGTGAGTCCAAAATCATATGCTTGTAATTTTGCAGTCAACTGCCTTCCTCAMAGTTTTGAAAGAGCGATACCAAGACAGAACCCTCCATCATGAAACCCTAGCAAATGCCCTTGATACATACAATCATGGTCTAAGGAAGACTTTAAAGCCAGTCAACATATCAAACCATTCACAGTTTTTTTAATGATATCTAGGGTTCTTATGTCTATACGAGACACTGGTGGTGACTGGATAGATGCCATGTTTGGYGAAAAAGACCCAGTCCTAAAAGGTGAAAAAGATGTCAAGACAGGATATCACGTAGAGATCCCAGAAAGAGATGTTGGTCCTTCAAGTACACAGGTAAACCACCAAGAATAAATCTTCAACTGAACAGAACTGTTGTGGGAATTAAACCTAAAAACAGTTCTCTGTGACCTTTGTTTTCCATTGAATCTGAATACTGCCGTATGTTATTTGAGTTTGCAATCTGGTTCTCTAGGTCCTGAAACGTGTTCTATAGATCTGTTTGTTCTAAAGAGTATACAGTACAGAGGGAAACAAGTTTATTAGTTTATTTCAAATTGTAAATTATTGAAGTCTCTTTCATTCTTGCATTCAAAACATTTTGAATACATCTATAAAATATGGGACCTTTGCTTAATCTTGTGTTTGAAGTAGAACAGTTCAATATTATTGATTAGAGTATGTAACTGATAATTGTTAACARGAGTAAATCATTTTTCACACAGCTGTACATGGTTCGAACAATGCTTGAGTCCTTGATTTCTGAGAAAGGTGGAAAACAAGTKATGCGCAAAGACCTGGCAAAGGAACACATAGAAGCCATTGAAAGCTTCCTGAAAAACTCCTTCTTCTTTGAGCATCTGCTTTGCTTTGATGAAGTGATGAGAGAGTCTTGYGATTTGTCACAATTGTGGTTTAGAGAATTTTACTTGGAGCTGACTATGGGTGCTAGAATACAGGTGAGAACTTCATGTTAGTTTTGTACTGAAAACCTTTCTATTTCGTTCAGCTGTCAACTATGTTCTAATCACAAAAGGCCAATCACTTAAAGTTTTTACAAATACATGAAGGGTCTCCATTCACAGAAATTTCAACAATAGTCCCGTATTATTAGTGCAAATTATTCAAATACGTCAACTAATCCCATCAATTCTTCCTGGTGAAATGTTTTTTTTTCTGTTGGTAAATTAAACAACATTTAGCTCAAGTAGAACAAAATGTTTTTAAATCAATGTGCCTCAGTTTTATGATTAAAACAACATGTGTTGTATATATTATACTATTTTCTTGTTGTTCTAAAGTTTCCCATTGAAATGTCAATGCCATGGATTCTTACTAATCACATCCTGGAGACCAAGGAACCAAGTATGATGGAGTGAGTACTAAAAATATATTTTTACATGCTACTGTTTATTTTGTGCAAATAATCAAGTTGACATCTTTCATATCAAGGTATGTTCTTTATCCTCTTGACCTCTACAACGACAGTGCTCATTATGCCTTGACYACRTTCAAGAAACAGTTTCTCTATGATGAAGTTGAAGCAGAAGTGAGTAGATAGTGAAAATTAAAACATTACAGCACTTAGATGAACTAAGAACATTTTATATTGGGCTTTTTATATTAGGTCTTCATATAGTTTATTAACAAGAGAATGTAAAAATTCCACTGCCGTGTGCAGTTATTAATCATGAATTTAAGTATGAACATAAATAATTTGTTATTTTGCTATCTTTTCCAGGTGAATTTGTGTTTTGATCAGTTTGTGTACAAGCTCAGTGATCAAGTATTTGCATACTATAAGTACCAAGCTTGCAAGTAAGTAATTATCAGCTTCCTACTTAGGCAACTTTTATCTTTGGGTTCCCTGTGGAATGAGGTYGACACTCAACACAGGAAGCCCAAAATTATAGAAAGTGAAATGTTTCCTGGCTGCTGGTGTGTTAATGTTTAATGTTTTCATTGCAGTATGTATCTCAATAAACGTTTCAAGGGAGAGTGTGCAAAGCTTAATATTGATTTGAATGCTGGACATGAAGCTCGTGCAAATAGATATGAGAGTCTTTTGAAACAAAGACATGTACAGGTAACCAGGAATCTTGCCTCTTTGATATCATATATATAACTAGCTCTACACTTTATGTGTATTGAGCACTCTTTAATGGGATCAGCCACTTCCTCATACGATTGTACAGGTAACCATAATAGATTGTAAACCTTAGATAAGGAAAGATCATGCAAAAGCATGATGGAACTTATAGTCCTCGTACTTTTCATGTTTTCTATTAAGTAGTCTCCCAAATCCATATATTTTCCCTCTTTTTTACAAAATGAGTAATTTTACCATTCTAAATAACAAAAGTAATAATAAAAGAGCAGTGAAACCTTGTTGGGAAAAATTGCGTCTCTGCAAATTGCCGTCTGTGTGTAATCCAACAGAATATACAAGAGAATGTATTGCATATTGCTTGAATGTTAATACTTAAGGCCTTGAAGATTGAACGGTCAATGTTGTATATCCAAAACGTCAAGACTATTTATAATAGTMTATTGTTTGTCTTTTAGTTGCTTGGTCGTTCAATTGACCTCAACAAGATGATAACTCAAAGAATCAACGGGTCGCTGTTAMGATCGCTGGACTACGCTATAAGTCGATTTGAAAGTGGAGACTTGTGTGGGATAGTGGTAAGAATCGCTTAAARATTACACAGGAAYCCMGTATGTAATTATTATTTCMAAGTCGGTTGTTAGCCTACTAGAACTCRGTCCAKRMAYGGTTTATTTAGGACTGGYATCATCTAACAATGCTCGTCAATACCCTTGACGCTCCTGCCGTTTTTTAAGTGTTTTGATCAGTTTCTACAAAAACATTCACTATATCGTAACCCTCCTATGTGACTCAATATTGGARTAGCTTTGAAACATCATCCGACTTGTGTTTTGCCAGACAACATTGACGTGGAGAAAGGGGATTCACTTAAAGGCAACGAGGCTATGAAATTTGTGTTTTCTGATGTCTGGATGGATTGAAAATACCATTTCCAGTAAAAAAGTCATTAAAATTCCACATACATAAGGGGCTTCACCCTGTTACTATCAGCACCGTCATTTAGGGACTGCGCAATAATTATTTGCAGAAATGAGTGAAAAAGCGGAAAAGTAATTAACGGAATGCCTACGAGAGAAGCTTTATAAGATTTACACTGTATTTTGTAGGATCTTGAAAACTTACTCGAGGTAAACAGGATTGCACACTCCCTTCTGTCTAAACACCTGACACTAGTACCATTCAAGACAATGCTACAAGAAGCTAACCACTCCGTGTCAGCTCCATATGGACGAATCACACTACACGTGTTTTGGGAACTCAACTTTGATTTCTTGCCAAACTATTGCTACAACTCATCCACAAACAGGTATTTATCAAGGCTGGTTTACGCGGTACATTTACCCCTCAAAACCTTTGATGCATTGGTACAAACGAGAGAGCACAGAATTTGACTCATTCTAGCCTGCTTCGGGGCTGTAGGGGAGGGGAGGGGGACTGTCAAGAAATGAAAAGCTGCGGTAGCTAAGAAACGCCTACATATTATATGTTATTATATAAACATTGATTGATTTGTTTTCMAGGTTTGTGCCAACCTCGTTATCATACGTTGACAAGGTTCCCAGGGAAGCACCGCCAAAGGGAGCCCATCAGTTGTTTTATGGTTCCAAGGTAGATTGATTAGTGATCTTGGTATACTGCTTTCAGTTATTATTACGTTAACATGATAAACCCATTACTTTTATGGAATTCTAAGCCTTGTCTTAATCTGCGGGCGAAACCAGTTTCCGGTCAAAAAGAGCGGGAAAGGAAAATGCTACGCACTACGTCTTAAAGAACCGAAAAGAGCGGGAAAATTGGCCCCACGGTTTCTCCGGACTGCCCGGTTTTGCGGGAAGTTTTGATCGGGATCCGTGTGAATCATCTCACATTCCACTCCGAAATTTCCGGAAATGTAACAAAGGATGAACGCTTCTCTTGATGATTTTCACTATATTTATATTTTGTTATTCAGAACCAGAATTCAGTATTCAACGCTATCAACTCCCTGTACAGCAAYTTCTTCGGTGACATCCACTTCAGCTGTCTTGCACGTTTACTTGGGTACCAGGGCATCGCGGTTGTTATCGAGGAGCTTCTAAAGATCGTCAAGAGTCTGGTAACTATTCAGTGYACATTGAGATGTGATAGTATTTTGTACTGATYGTACGGTGCTTCAGTTYCAGGGACAAATTCAGCAGTACGTTGCTCAACTTATGGAAGGAATGCCTAAAAAGTGTGCTTTACCACGTTATGAATATGGATCAACAGGTCAGTCTTAAATGCAATGACAGTTTATCAGCGTTATCACATTCAAAATGAAGAGATTAGATCCTGATTCAACACAAAAACTAGAAGACTAAAAAAGCTGAACTAATTTTATTGTCATTTTTAGGTGTGCTGGAGTATTATCATGCTAACCTGGAACCAATCATGCAGTATCCTGAGTTAAGAGTGAATGTATTCCAGGGATTTCGAGAGATCGGTAACGCTGTGTTGTTCACGTTGCTAATGGAAACAATGCTGGTAAATTGATTAAACTTGTTACAAATTGTTGCTTTTGTTTTGTTGGTGACTTTGTTATAGTAAGCATTTTTTTTATTTTTGTTATTGCTATTGTTAGCAGTGTTATGGTATCAATGTTGTTATTTTTAAGGCCACGGTCATGGTGTTTTATAGTTATAGTTGTCAGTGTTGTAGTTGTCAGTGTTGCCGTTGTCAGTGTTGCCGTTGTCAGTGTTGCCGTTGTCAGTGTTGTCGTTGTTGTGATTGTAGTTGTTATAGTATCGTCAGTTCTTTTTATCACTTTGTCATTGTAGTCACAAGAGGAAGTGATGGATCTCCTCCATGCTGCCCCATTCCAAGGAATAATACCAAGACCTTACCTGAAAGGTTTGTGAATTTGCAAAAAAAAAAAAAAAAAAAAAAAAAAAAAAAAACGAAAACAAAATCAAAAACAAAACAAAAACAAAAACAAAATAAAAACTACAGTACTTCGGCTCTTCTCGTAAACACGAGGATGACTGCTGAACAACAAAACGAAGTCCGCACAGGCTCATCTGGAAATCCAATGGCAGGCTATTGGCTCAAATTTAACTCATTCTTCATTGCATTTTGCTAGAATAAAACAAGCGACACCTTTGCAATATACAGTTTCTGATTAAACGACAATTGAACGCTTATTTTTGTCCTTGCAGAGGGAGAAAAACTTGAAGGTAAAATGAAAAAGCTCGAGGCTCAGTACAGCTCACTGCAAGTCGTGTCAATTATCAATAGACTGGGCACTAGAGAGGTTAGTCCAAAAATGCTGGCAGAATAGTATTGTAATCTGCAGTTTCATGTGTACAAATCAATTGCCTTCCAGTGTGTAAAGTAATAGTTATATAGTTCACTATAAAAAGTTCCTTAATGAACATGGCAGCGGCGGATACAGCTGGTGGATTAAGGAAGTGAGCATCTCCTACTAGGAACTTCCATCTTGATATTTTCACCTAATTTGTGTCTCTTTTGTGGCTGTTTTTGTGGAGWGCATCCCCTTATTGGGTGACCTGCACCCTGCCCTGAAGAAAAKTCATAATCTGTCTCGGTTACGACACAAGAAAAAATTCTAATGAAATATTATAWAGTATAAATAAACAACATCAAAACAAAACGAGTTGTTTCTAAAATCTGTAGTCGTTTTCCCTCAGCAAATAACCAACGCCAAGGAAGGAGATCTTCTAACCAAAGAAAGACTTTGTTGTGGTTTGTCAATATTTGAAGTTGTTCTAAGAAGAATCAAGTCATTTCTAACGGCAGATGTTTGGAAAGAACCTCCWGCAGCAAATGGCGTTMTTAGTATCGATGAGTGTCGGGAATTTCATCGACTGTGGAGCGCAATACAGTTTAACTACTGCCAGCCACTCAGACAGCATGAACTGACTGTAGAGTAAGTMATAGCAGACCCTAGGGGGTGGGTAAAGGGCTAGATTAACAAGACATGTCAATTYCATCAATTATGGAGAGCAATAMAMCTCAATTACTGCCAGCCACATGATGTAACTGTARATTAAGTAATAGCAGACCCATTTAATTCCATCAATTATGAAGTGCAATACAGTTTAATCAAGCAAGCAAAAACAGGCCTTAGGGGTGGGTTGAAGGGAACTTTTAGATACTGAGATCACCAGCGCCTATTCTTTGTAATCATTCTTTTGATCTTTTCCAGGGAGTGTTTTGGTGAAGGTCTTAACTGGGCCGGATGTGTAGTAATAGCTCTTCTTGGACAACAAAAACGCTTTGAAGCGTTGGATTTTTGCTACCACATCGTCAAAGTACATGAGGTTGATTTCCGAGATGAGGTGGTGGCTGGCGTGGTAAGTTTGAACATTGGAATTAGAATCATAATACCCATGAAATAATTACTCGATTAAAACGTTTATTAACCTTTATATTTTATTTTTGATTGATAATGATCTTTTAATGATCTTAAAAGGGGTTTTCATTTGGAAGCTCTACGTTACTCATTTGGCTCTGTTTTCGCGTTGATATCTTAAAAGGGACATGGTCCACCAGCATCCCTTTCGAGCTTTTCAGTGTTTATGTTTGAAAATAGAAATACATCGTAATATAAGCAAAACCTTACTCTTTATTGTTCCTTTATCCTATATGAATGGAGATTCTTTGTGATTCGACCGTTAAACCGATAGATGGAAACGGATTGCAAATGGATATTCGAAGTCACCTCRTTTTCCATATATGACTGAAAAATCTAAAACACGACCGCATTGCATGCTAGTGGACCATGTCCCTTTAATTTTATCGTTTTTTCACGGGTTAAATGTATCCAGTGTCATGACACCCAACCTGTGTCACCACCAACAATGTACATTTTATAAAAATGATTTTTTTCTTTGTCATTATTTCTCTTTTTTAATTGACAGGATCTCAAGAGGCTCGTCAAACGGGCTCGTCATTTCAAAGCTCTCAACAATCAAATATTCGCCATTCTCAACAAACATTTAAAATCGGCTGATGGTCCCGTGGAACATGTACGGTGCTTTCAACCACCTATCCATCAAGCGTTTGTCTCGCCCATTTAATTCATGACCACACCTTTTGGTGGCATTCAATACACTGTAAGCACGTAGTCCATGAAACGTTAYTGTAAGTTTTATACTAAATGGAACTAAATTGCTTGATTTMGCTWCATGAAATAGCTACTTGAATGGGAAGTTTGCAAAAGAGTTCTTATTACTTGGAAATGCTTGGTGCATTATCTAGTATGAGTAATCGTTCCGTAAACGAGGTTTTCTTGAACTGAGTGAAGTCAAGCTACTACTGAGTAATTGCTGTTTCGTGCTAAACAGAGTTGAGGTTCGTATGAGTAAAATGGAAATGACGAATGATGATTCCATGTAAAAATCGAATTTAYCTTATTGTCASTTTAATGGTGTTTYAGTTTTCGTATCGTTGTTGTACTGTAGTCGTGTCGTCGTCATTTCCCCACTCATACAAAGTCAACTCTGGTTTCAATTATTCGGTACTGTTTCATGACTACAGTGTTTACACGTGATTCCTATTTTTATAACTGTTTTTAAACCCTGCTTACGCCATTAGYTTTTATTCTTCGATATGAAATAGAAAACTCGACGCACATTACGCGACGTCCAATATCCCAATAGATTGCCTCTCTTCGAGTTGCTCTCTTCTTCATGTGACGAAATACTCTAAAATCTCTTGAAAAAACGGATACCTTAGATTCTTTAGAACTGTTCGTTGTTCAGAGGTTTCTAAATGTTATTCAGGGCTATTTTGGATGTCCGTGTTATAGAGATGGTCGCATAATAGAGGCTCTGTCGGCACAACTACTAAATCACCTGTCGGTCGCTCTATACCAGGCTGTTTTSTTGTGGATGRGGCATATGCAYCTCCTTTTTTACTTTCTGATCGTTTATAAGGCKTTTATATGTGTWSACGGAGYCTCTAAAAATTGCGTCTTCGCTTCACGGGTCTAGTTTTTGATCAGTTTGAYCGYGAGTTCASCCGAACCTGGTCTCGACTATGACGAGAAAGAACAGWCAGTTTGGCAGCAAGAACTGTYCTACTTCCAAAGCAGCCACGTAGTCTGTGTTTGCATTGCAACACTTATAAATTCTACATAAAAAAGCATTTGTATATTTTTGATACTATAAAAAAAAAACAATTTTGACATAAAATAAAATATAAATATATAGAATCCATTAAACCTTTGAAACATAACTGGCACCAAAATGGTGTTGAGATGTGGCTTCGTCTCTGAAAACATGGTTTTCAACTAGTGTTTATTCATAGCCATTTCTTGAACAGACGAATTAAAATCGATTTATCAACCTGAGTTGGATTATCTACATTTAGCTCTAATAGGCAGACTGGTACCCAGTCGTTACGTTTTTTTTTCGATACGCTCGAAGGGGTYGATGGGAAGGAAAGAAAAAAGTTTCGCGCATTTCCTTCCCGCTTCCCTTCAGCATTGCGTGCCGCTGAAAACGCTAAAGAAGCGACTGGGTACGAGTTTTGCCTTCATTTTATTAAAACTACCAGAATTCTTTCCGTATTTTCTTTGTTAAGATTTGTATTTCCTTTAGGAWTGAATAAAACAACTAGGACTAATGCATTATAARTGGGCAAAGCATTCTGGTAGTTGCGCATAACGTCATCGCGCTAGACCAGCATTAAGCACATCACACGGATCTATGTTCTCAATAGCAGTCGTTTTTCGCGCACAAGAGGCTGCTGTTTAGAGCTTTGGCTACTTCGTAAAGTACTATTTAACTTCACGGATAACGTGCTGTCCAACATTGTTGTGCTGTCCTATAATTCTTTGTTTTTGTTGCCTCGATCACGACGAATGMTTTCTTGAATAAAATTGATGAGCTTATGAGTTATACAGCTAAAACAACAACAAAAAATTTGAATAAAATTTTCTTTTAGAAAAATGCCTCTCTTTGTCACACAAGTTGAAGTTGAGTTGTGTCACGTCACGTTACCGAATCACTGAACTGAAGCAGGCTTGAATCCGAGTCTCGAGTTGTAAGTTTATTGATGTATTCTACCTGCTCTTGCTGCCGARATCAAAGATTTCTGAATTCAAAATAGTTCTGTATTGTCTTTTATTCTTGTGTRAAGTAATCAAGGTCTATCGGAATGCAACAAGGATAACAAAA